CATCGTCACTGGCATGTGGATTTTCAGGGTGAAGCGGCCGCCGGGTTCTCCGCCTGTCTTCAAGGCGCGTTACGTGGCTCGAGGCTTCAGTCAGCAACAGGGAGTTGACTACTTTCAGACCTTCTCTCCCACCTCGAAGATAACCACTCTTCGGGTGCTGCTGCACATAGCCGCTTAGCGCGACTACGAGCTTCACTCTCTTGACTTCAGCACAGCTTTCCTGCAGGGCAGCCTGCACGAGGAGATCTGGCTGCGCCGCCCACCTGCCTTCACTAGGTCGTTTCCTCCTGGTACCCAGTGGAGCCTCCGGCGGCCAGTCTACAGTCTCCGTCAGGCGCCCCGTGAGTGGCACGACACAATGAGGACTACACTTGCGGCTCTTCGGTTGGCTCCTTCTACAGCCGAACCGCCGCTGTTTCTGCGCACCGACACCTCTCTTCCGCCGTTCTACATCCTCCTGTACGTCGACGACTTGGTCTTTGCCACTGCTGACACTGCTGGTCTCGCCCACGTGAAGTCCGAGCTGAAGAAGAGACACACGTGCACAGACCTGGATGAACTGCGCAGGTACCTTGGCTTGCAGATCACCCGGGACAGAGCACAGCGCACCATTACCCTGACTCAGTCATACATGGTGCAGCAGGTCCTTCAGCGCTTTGGCTTCACGTACTCCTCGCCTCAGGCCACTCCTCTGTCTACTCGCCACTCGCTCTCAGCTCTGCCTTCGGATGAGTCCGTAGAGTCGAGTGGCTCGTACCCAGAGTTGTTGGCTGCCTCATATACTTGATGACATGCATACGACCTGACCTTGCATATCCTCTTAGCATCTTGGCACGCTATGTTGCTCCTGGGAGACACCGACCATAGCACATGGTTGCAGAGAAGAGGGTGTTGCGCTACGTGTGCAGTACGGCGTGCATGGGGCTAGTGCTTGGAGGGCGACGTGGAGTGGTCCTCACAGGTCACGCTGATGCTTCTTGGGCTGACGACCAGGCTCTGCAGCGGTCGTCACAGGGTTACACCTTCAACCTTGGCTTCGGCTCTGTTTTGTGGCGGTCTACCCGCTCGTCTTCTGTTGTCAGCTCGAGTTGTGAGGCTGAGATCTACGCAGGGGCCATTGCTGTACAGGAGCTACGCTGGCTCACCTACCTGCTGACTAACCTAGGAGATGCGCCTCGTTCTCCTCCAGTTCTGTACGTAGACAATAAGGCCATGCTGGCCTTGTGTCGGGAGCACAGACTGGAGCACAGAACGAAGCACATTGCTCTACGTTAGTTCCTGGCTCGTGAGCTGCAGCAGCGTGGTCAGCTCCGCCTCATCTACGTGGCGTCTGAGGCCAACACTGCTGATATCTTCACCAAGGCCCTTCCGCCTTGTGATCATCAGCGCTTCTGTACTTAGCTAGGTCTTGTGCCTACCTAGCCTCACTTGCCCACTTCTTTATCTTGTTTGTACTGTCCTTTTTCTATACCTGCACTTGCTTGTTTACCTTTATATATATGATCTTGCATGTGAACTGGCCTCGTGGCCTTACTCTTGTGCTCGGACTGTGTGGTGACTTTGTGATCCACCCTGAGCTTGCGTTGCTTTGCTTGACTGGTCTTGTGACCCCTTGTTCTCCCCCACTTTGCCTATGGGAGTGTGTTAGAACATTATAGCTTATACATTTGTGTAGGCTGTAGTCGGGTAGCCCATAAGGGGTACAACCCAATTAGGGTTAGTACTTGTACCCAACTCTTTCATAGTTTATTTCATTCTCGTTTCTCGTCAGAAGCACCAACAACAACAGCACTGGTGGTAAGCAGAGTGGGGAAGGAGGAGTGAGAAAGTGCGTTGCTCAATGACAGCTTTTGCGAGTGCTCGTTCGTCCCTACCCCTCCTTGAAACGACTCTGCATTTGCTCGTACAACTACTGCTGTTGCTGCTAGTGATAGTGCTTGTGCTGGCAGTGGTTCACTCTCTGCCGCAGGTTTCCCTCTCCTTCATATGCTTCTCCATCCTCGTTAGGAGAAACCATAGTTTATAGATTAACCATTCCTAGATCACCACTCGCCCCTCTTCTACTTCCAACAACCTCTCATCTCCTCTCTATGACTGAGTCGCCCCTTCTCTGCTCCATTTATCCATCAACCCCTCTCTCTCATCCGCTGCCACCATTTTGTTCTCCCCTTCAATCCAATAGCCCCATTTACAGCCTCTGTGCCTGCCTCCCTCCCTGCCGCCATTCTCTCTCTCTCTCTCTCTCTCTCTCTCTCTCTCTCTCTCTCTCTCTCTCTCTCTCTCTCTCTCTCTCTCTCTCTCTCTCCCCATCAGCTCTCCTTAACAATATTCAGCTGCTCAAGGACGATTTTGTTGCTCTTGCTGTCCACTGCCTTGCTTGAATTGCATCTGCTGCTGGTGCTACAGCTGCTGATGTTGCTGCTGTTGCAGCTGCTTCCATTATTTCTGCTGCTTCTCTTGCTCCCACCATCCCATGATTATGCTACTTCCTTTGGCTTTCATAGGAAGTAACAGGCAGAAGGGTAGATGGTAAAAACCCAGCAAAAGGGACATGGATGACTTGCACAAAAATCCGTTGGATCAGAAATCGGCAGATTGGATGGACGAGAAAGGTCAAAAGGATTAGAGGAAGTATGGGGGCCTATGTAAAAATCTACATCTTGTAAGGTGTACTTTGTTAGCAGCGTCGGTTCTTGTAAGATGTAGATCTGTACACCCTGAACCGTGACGTCTGTCGTTCACTCAGGTTCTAAACCTATGGCTCGCGACTCGGGTCCCATCCATCCCTGTCGCAAGCGAGCAAAGTTGTTGCTCAAGAAAACTACACGCGTACCGTTGTGAACCACACGTTTGGCAATTGATGAACTGATGGGGCGGGCGGACTGAACTGCGGGCAGGCAACTATACTATACCCACCCACCCCAGATGGAAACAGGCGAGTGGTCGAGATCAGGGCTGACGATTCAAGGGCAAATGTCCTAAATGCCCTGAACTTCAAGGGTTGGGTTCGGCCTAGCTTCCGAGTTTTAAGGATTGGATTTGAGGGCAGCCCGTCCCCGTAAAGTGCTGGTTGTGGGCCTAACCCGGATTTCAAGTGCAGATCCCGCGGCTAGTCCTTCTATTCCCTCACCAGTTCACTCGCCTCCTCCCAGCCACTCCCCTACTTTTCCCATCCCTGTCAAATCCATCGACATGTTTCGTACCTCAGCCTATTGCTTAGCTGGCTCTTAGTAGTTTGCCTAAGAGACGGACCCGAAGAGATGCAGGGTTTCCTTAGCGAAAGTGCAAAAAGTTTGGTAGCCCTGATTTCAAGTGCCATGTTTTCTCTCAGCCCGTAAATTTCAGGGCAACTTTTGGGGCTCCTCAGCCTCTCAAGTTCTGGCTCCAAACCAGGCCTGTCGAAGTCCCTGGGGCTCGAACTTGCGCTCCCCAGCTCCTCCCAATCTGACCCTTGGTTGGGGGTAGGTGATTGATTTGGCGCCCTTAAGGGTCACGGGCACACCCCAAAGTCAGAACTTGAAATCAGGGCATGTCTGAAGTTTGCCCTGACACTTCTTTACACCATGACAAGTGCAGTTATCTACTTAAACTAGAAGTCAAAGACACCTGACACTACACATGGCTTAATTAGTCATAAAACCTACCTAGCCTGCAACTTAGCCAAATTCAGGCACGCTAATCCTATGTGTCCTCCCAGCTGTAACATGCGGCCAGCTAGTATTGGCTTGGACGCTAAGGGAAAGTTCGAGTGCTCCATGTGTGTCTCAGCCACTTTACAGATACGGACGGGATTGGCTCGAAAACGCTCAGGGAAAAATCCCGTTGGCGCGCTCTCGGGGGGTGGTGGGGGGGGGGGGGGTGGGGGTGGGAAGGCAGAATTCGGGGGGGGGGGGCCTACAACCGGAAACCAAAACTTAGTGGGTGGGGAAGGCCTGATTGGAGAACTTAACGCGTCCGGGGAAGGGTCTGACGAGGCACTTAGTGGCACGGGTGCAATGCGATCCTAACACTTTATGCAGTCGAGCTGGAGCGAAAGTAGCCCGGAATTTCAGGGCATTAAGGGCATATGCCCGTCAATCGACAGGCCTGCTCCAAACCAATCGACAGCCCTGGTCGAGATTGGTCACGTTGCCCACGCGAGTGCACCGCTCTCGTACAGTACAGTAATTATACACCCTGTTTCGCAACCTTGTCACCTTGCGCGACTCGCTTCCACAGTGCTTGGAGCTAGCGCGCTGGTGATTCTAACTGATTTCCAAGGCAAGGGAGCACCTGGCGACAAATCAGCCGCATTGGTCTCTGTCATGCAGAATCTGAACAGTGCATTCGCCAGCTGTGACGCCAATCCAACTTGGCAACCCAAGAGGTCTAGAATGTGCAAACCAAATCAAGTCAACGGAAACTCACACTCAAAAGGTTCAAAACACACAAGGCCCAAATCACCCTGGTGCAGTGCGTCAACTTCTGAATGCACTTGGGAATTTCGCCGATTTCAACGTGACAGTTTACACGCTCAAGCTGACGCGGCAGGGTCTTGGAATTCGTACGTTGACGGTGGATTGGGATTTCTATGGTCCTCTTTGGCGGTCTGGTAATCGGTTGCACCAATCATATGTCACCATGTCAAATCTGCACATTCGTGTAACGTGATTTCCTCTGCTCTTGGGAAATCCTGACAACTTCGCCAACCCTATAACCCGTGGCCTGATGACAAACATGCCACCTAAGAAGTCATCATCATCGGGACAAAATGTGCCTGTACAGGTGGTGATCTGTCCATTCTGAACGTGGTGAGGTTCCACAACCTGACAAGGTCAGGCTACCAGATGCTCTGCTAGCGCGAAACAGGGTGTAGTGTACTAACTGAAGCAGTCGCGGGACAGGCCGACTCGGAATGTCAAGTGTTAGTCTGGGATGGGATTCTCTCGGAATGGAACATCTGATGTAACACCTCGCTACCCACTGGGTCAAAACGAGGGTTATGTTCTGAGGCGCAGCGGATGCACACAACCCTTACGTGTAAGCCCCGCAGGCGTTACATCCGACCCCTCCCTCTTTCAGAATGCCCCTTGCCGCCAAAACAGCAGACTCTGTGGAGGAAAAATATTTTCTTTTGCAACCTATCGGGAAAAGTAGGTTTTTTAGGGAACAATATCTCCGAGAAACGTATAAAAGCCGATGAATTCTAGCCGAATCTCTCGCCGCAAATTGCGGGTTCAACCAGGAGCCATATGTCTTCTTCATGTCGCGATTTCCCGACGGGTTACGTTTCTCCTCTATCTCGTAGCCTTCGTTCGTGTCGCTGATGGTCTCGTCGACTGCCGTAACCTAAACAGTCCAAGTAAGAGGCTCCGCTTCTCCCGTTCTCAGGTATCACCGCCGTTGACGGTTTCGTCGATATACTAAGCAGTCGAGTCTTAAGCATACTTGCAATGACGGTTCTCCACTAAATTACCCTATATCTCCAACTCACTTCCATTATACCTTCTTTGGCCGGAACAGGTGAATCGTCAAACTTCCTCCCAAACCCAAGCTTCGATACAAGCTGTCTCGATACAGGATGGCGTCACAAGAAGCTGAACGCGTCGTGCGATCCATGGCCGTACTTATTCCCGTGGCGCGCGTTAGAACCTGGGGAGACACTCTCAACCGACGAGTTCTTAGCCACCGCCGCATTTGGCGGCGCAAACCGCGGAGCATTGCTCGCTCCAGCGGGTGCGACAAAGGTGGAAGCCGTGGCCGCGACAGCAGAAGAAACGGCATCGCCTGCTGACGTGACAATAGCGGATGGGGTCACGGGAGTCACGGACACTCTTCTGGCAGCTGACGGGTCCCGTTTTCTACAGCTGACTTCCGCTTTTTCCGCGTCGTCTAGTGGCGACGGTGCTTCTGGTAGTAGCAATGATAGTACTAACAATAGCAGTAGCGCGTTTGGCAGCCCAGGCGTGACGCAAGCGCTGTGCGAACTCAAACCCGCCGCATCGCCGACCAGCAACGAGTCACAGCAGGCGCAGCAGCAGCAGTCCCCGCGCCAGCTGTCGCTCTCGTTCTTTGCGCGCGCCAGCCTGTGCGCGGAGGGGGAAGGGGGCGCGGAAGGGGAGGCGGGGCGGCTGCTGAGGGTGCTGCTGCTGGCAGTTCCGCTGAACGCCTCCGCCGCCGCCACAGCAGGGGGAGATGCAGCTGCTGGGGGAGGGGCGGGGGAAGGAGGAGCGGGGGAGCAGGTGTGGGCGGAGTGGCGGGTGGGTGTGCCGTGTGGGGGAAGCAGCGCGAGTTTGTCCGGCGCCTTGCCTTGGTTCCACGTGGGACCCCTCCTCTTCCCCCTCCCTGACCTCCCAGATTCCTCCTCCTCTTCTTCCTCCGCCTCCTCTCCTTCCTCGCTGGTAGTGCCCCCAGGGGGAGTGGCGCTGCACTTGGTGATTCGAGGTGTGCAAGACAGTCACAGCAGCAGTAACAGCACGAGCGGCACTTCCACCGTTACCACCACCAGTGGTATTGCCACCGCCACAAGCAGCGTAGCTGCCAGCGGCAGTGAGAGCAGTAGCATCGGCGCCACCAGCGCCACTGTTGCTGCGAGTATGGGAGGAGGAGGAGCAGGAGAGGGAGCGGGAGTGAAGGCGGCGGCGGTAAAGCGAGTGGACGTGGCGTCGGAAGCTGGAGGAGGAGCAGGAGCGGGGAGCACGGCTATCGACCTTGCGTCTGTCATGCCTACCCGCAGTGAGTCAGAGAGGCAGAAATGGTTGGCAGGGTCACAGGTGTGTCACAGGTATAGTTGGCTGAAAGCATGCGCTGCACACATGCTCAACTCCCACTCAAGTGCATCATCGATTTCTCATTGCACGTCTACTCACAATCCCACTTCCCGTTCACCTCCTCCCTCCCTTCCGCCCCACTCCCCATCCCTGTCACTGCCCTGCAGCCGACCCCTCCCCTCTCAAGTCCTCCTCCCAATGGCTCTCCAACACCCAAGACTCACTCATTCCCCCTCCCTTCCCCATCCCCTCCTCTCCCCCCTGCCGCCCTTCCCCCCCACTCCCCATCCCTGTCACTGCCCTGCAGCCGACCCCTCCCCACTGAAGTCATTCTCCCACTGGCCGCTCTCCAGCGCGCACCCGCTCATCACAGCCGGCTCAGCTCGCCGCAATTCATCCTCCCTCTCCCTCACCTCACTCTCCGACTTCAATTCTGCCTCCCTCGCGCTGCACCCCGCCCCCTTCGCCCTGCTCGCCCCCGCCACGCCCGCCTCCCCCTGCCGCCCCTTCTCCTTCTCCACCTCCTTCACCTTCCGCATCTCCTCCCCCAATGCCGCCGGGCTGGGCGGCGAGGGCTTGGCGTTTGTGATGCTGCCAACGCCTACGCTTGGCCTGCAGGGGCCCTCCCTGGGCTATGGCCGTGTGCTGCTGCCCCCGGGGAGTACAGCTGGTGCTGATAATTCCAGTTCCAGCAGTGGCGTGTCATCTCAGGCATGTGTTTCCTAAAGAACAGCTCCTTTCTCTCAATTCGGTGGGGATAGGCCGGGAGGGCATAGACTTTGTGATGATACCATTGCCCTCGTTCGGCCTACCACGAGGAGGTATGCTCATCAGTTTCATCTCTTTCTTCTCGCTCGCCTCCCGTGTTTCGTCTTCCTTCTCTTGCCTTCCGTCTTCCTTGTTCATTGTCTGCTGCTCTTCCTCTGCATGTCTTGCTCTCTTTTGCTGCTGCTTTGCGTTTTTGCGGTTCTCTTTATCTGCTGCTCCCCTTTGCTGCTCCCCCTCCCATGCACAGCAGCACAGGAGCCTCGCGGTGGAGTACGACACATCTAAATCTCTCAAGCACTTCTCCCTCCCCTCCCTCTACCATCCACAGCAGCACAGGAGCCTGGCAGTGGAGTTTGACACATCGGCCTCCCTGGAGTTCTGGGACCGCCCCGACCACCACGTGGGGGTGAACCTGCACGGCAGCATGCTCTCTCTCGCCTCTGCCCCCGTGCACCCCCTCGGCATTCCCGCCCTCAACGCCGGCCAGACCCTCCTCGCCACCATCCACTACAACGCCTCCTCCTCCCACCTCACTGTCTACCTCTCCCCCGCCCCCGCTCCTTCCTCTTCCCCCCCTCCCTCACCCCCGCTCTCCTCTCGCTCCACTTCCTCCTCCGCCTCCTCCCCCTCTTCCCCCTCTCTCCCGCGCTCGGCCGGGCTCACCACATTCCCGAACACCTGCTCTAAACGTTCTCCTCGCTTCCCTCACTTCCCTGGTTTCAATCGCTGCCCTCGCCCCTCCCCCTCCTCTCCGTCCGCCTCCGCCTCCCCCCCTCTCCCACGCTCAGCTGTCCTCTCCATGTTCCTGGACACCTGCGAGTGGCTCGGCGGGAACGATCCGGATGCAGTTTCGCCCCCCCCGCCGCTGTTGGTGGGATTCACAGCGGCCACGGGCAAGGGGACGGAGCAGGCTCAGGCACATGAGGTGCTGGGGTGGGATTTCCAAGTGGGGGAGGGTGAGTGATTTGTTTGAGAGTGAGCTTAACTTTGGTGTATAGACACATAGTGTGCGAACTCTTGAGTGACCCTAACAAGTTAGAACACAGCGGCCACGGGCAAGGGGGCGGAGCAGGCTCAGGCGCACGAGGTGCGGGGGTGGGATTTTGAAATCGGAGAGGGTGAGTATAGTTCACTTGCCGTGCCCTTGCATTACTTGATCACCTGTGAATAGCTCGACACGTGTGAGGAGCTTGGGAGGATGAGTTGAGTTCAGTTGCCTCCCCACTGCCTGATGTAGGCCTGGTGTAGGCCTGGTGTAGGCCTGGCCTGGTGTAAGCCTGGTGTAAGCCTGGTGTAGGCCTGGTGTAGGCCTGGTGTAGGCCTGGTGTAAGCCTGGTGTAGGCCTGGTGTAGGCCTGGTGTAGGCCTGGTGTAAGCCTGGTGTAGGCCTGGTGTAGGCCTGGTGTAAGCCTGGTGTAGGCCTGGTGTAGGCCTGGTGTAAGCCTGGTGTAGGCCTGGTGTAGGCCTGGTGTAAGCCTGGTGTAGGCCTGGTGTAGGCCTGGTGTAAGCCTGGTGTAAGCCTGGTGTAGGCCTGGTGTAAGCCTGGTGTAGGCCTGGTGTAAGCCTGGTGTAGGCCTGGTGTAGGCCTGGTGTAAGCCTGGTGTAGGCCTGGTGTAGGCCTGGTGTAAGCCTGGTGTAGGCCTGGTGTAGGCCTGGTGTAAGCCTGGTGTAGGCCTGGTGTAGGCCTGGTGTAAGCCTGGTGTAGGCCTGGTGTAGGCCTGGTGTAAGCCTGGTGTAGGCCTGGTGTAAGCCTGGTGTAGGCCTGGTGTAGGCCTGGTGTAAGCCTGGTGTAAGCCTGGTGTAAGCCTGGTGTAAGCCTGGTGTAGGCCTGGTGTAATTCTGATGAAGGCCTGATGTTGGCCTCGGGTGTGTGGGATTTCTTGCCTGCAGCACTGGTTGGCAGGCAAAGGGAGGGAGGGACCGGGCGCACACGTGAATGGTTTCCTTATTATGTGCTTGTTTACACAGTTACATGGTTACACGGTTACACGAGTACACCCCATGATCCCCATGGTGCGGGCTAAGAGGCACGCACACACCCCACGACTCGTGGTGTGATTGTTGCCCTCACGCAGTGCACTCCTTCAGCTGACCCGAACCCTCCCCCCTCCCCACCCCACCCCTGCCCCCCCCTGTCCTCTCCCCTTCCCCCGTCGCACATATCATGCCCTTCCCCCGTCACACATATCATGCCCTTCCCCCGTCGCACATATCATGCCCTTCCCCCGTCGCACATATCATGCCCTTCCCCCGTCGCACATATCATGCCCTTCCCCCGTCGCACATATCATGCCCTTCCCCCGTCGCACATATCATGCCCTTCCCCCGTCGCACATATCATGCCCTTCCCCCGTCGCACATATCATGCCCTTCCCCGGTCGCACATATCATGCCCTTCCCCCGTCGCACATATCATGCCCTTCCCCCGTCGCACATATCATGCCCTTCCCCCGTCGCACATATCATGCCCTTCCCCCGTCGCACATATCATGCCCTTCCCCCGTCGCACATATCATCCGCACATATCATGCCCTTCCCCCGTCGCACATATCATGCCCTTCCCCCGTCGCACATATCATGCCCTTCCCCCGTCGCACATATCATGCCCTTCCCCCGTCGCACATATCATGCCCTTCCCCCGTCGCACATATCATGCCCTTCCCCCGTCGCACATATCATGCCCTTCCCCCGTCGCACATATCATGCCCTTCCCCCGTCGCACATATCATGCCCTTCCCCCGTCGCACATATCATGCCCTTCCCCCGTCGCACATATCATGCCCTTCCCCCGTCGCACATATCATGCCCTTCCCCCGTCGCACATATCATGCCCTTCCCCCGTCGCACATATCATGCCCTTCCCCCGTCGCACATATCATGCCCTTCCCTCGTCGCACAAATCATGCCAACCCCATCATGCCAGAATGAATTCGCTGCCATAGTGAGTGAAGCTCCAAGAAACCTACCTCCCATAGTCCCCAGTGTCCCACAGTCCACACCCTTACCCTTCCCTCCCCCCCCTTCCCCTCGCCCCTCCACCATGCCAGCCCCAGAAGCACAGAATACCCAGAACCTACCTCCCATAGTCCCCAGTGTCCCACAGTCCACACCCTTACCCTTCCCTCCCCCCCCTTGCCCTCACCCCTCCACCATGCCAGCCCCAGAAGCACAGAATACCCAGAACCTACCTCCCATAGTCCCCAGTGTCTCACAGTCCACACCCTTACCCTTCCCTCCCCCCCCTTGCCCTCGCCCCTCCACCATGCCAGCCCCAGAAGCACAGAATACCCAGAACCTACCTCCCATAGTCCCCAGTGTCCCACAGTCCACACCCTTACCCTTCCCTCCCCCCCCTTGCCCTCGCCCCTCCACCATGCCAGCCCCAGAAGCACAGAATACCCAGAACATACCTCCCATAGTCCCACTGTCCCACCCACCCACGGTCCACTGTTGAGGCGACTCAAAAGGAACCTACCTTCCTCCCACAGTCCCACGGTCTACACCCTAGCCTAAGGTTGAGAGCATTTCTTCATGCCTACCCTAACCCTCTCGCCGCCCTGCCCTGCCTGCCCTCACCCACATTCCATTCCATGCCAAACCCAGCAGCGGAGGATCCGCTTCCGTTTTGGGCAGCAGACTCGTTCTCCTTCCCCTACATCACGCCAGCCACTCCCCTGCTGACACGTGGCAGCACCAGAAAACGCTTCTTCGCCGCAGATCTCTCTGTCGCTGCTGACGTGGAATCATCCAGTGGCCAATCGGACGATCCCGCCCCCGGAGCCATCTCCTTTCCTCGCCGTCTCCCCCTCCTCTACTCTTCCTCCTCCCCTCCCTTCCCACCTCCTCCTCCTCCTCCTCGTCGTCCTCGTAGCTCCCCCCATTCCTCTCCTTCCTCCCCCCCTCCCCAACCCACAGCAACCGAACCCCCAACCTGCATGGCTCGCTCTTTCACCTTCACATACGGCTTTTCCCTAAATGTATCTGCTTCCCATGGGCTCGCGTTCGTTATAAGCACTCATGCGACCCTGGGCCTAGGCGGGTTTTATATGGGGTATGGCCGGGACCCATCCTTGAGACTCGCTAATGGCAGCTGGCCGGACGGCGCGCGGAGTGTAGCTGTGTTTTGGCACCCGGATATGGACGATGTATATACTATACACTTTGGCGTTAACACTGACTTCAACATGACTTCGATTTTTACGGGGAAGTTGTCAACTGTCGTGGAGCCTGAGGAGGTGTTGCAGATGAGGGTTGACTATAACGGGAGGAACAAGGAGATGCTGATCAGATGGTACCAACCCCCTGTTCTAGTAGGCAGCTTGAACGTCTCTCTTGACCTCTGTGCTGCTCTCACTGGGCCCTCTGCTGCCAGTGGAAGCAGCAGTGGCGGCGGTGGCGGCGGCAATGGTAGTGGCAGTGGCAGCGGCAGCAGCGGCAGCAGCAGCACCACTACCACCACCACCACCACAAGTGGCAGCAAAAGCAACAGCAGCAGCAGCAGCAGCAGCAGCAGCAGCAGTGACAGCAGTGCAACGGACCTGTCGTCACCATCCTTTGGGCAGCTGGTCGTTGGGTTCACCAGCGCTGCTCTCCCTCCCCCCCCTGGCCGCCTGCCTTCCCCCGTCGCCCTCTCCTCCTGGACCTTCCGATTCACAGGTAGGGGGGAGGGGAAGTGGGCGAGATGGGAGGTAGGAAAGAGAGAAGGGCTAGTGAGCCACGTGCCCTGCCTTCCCCCGTCGCCCTCTCCTCCTGGACCTTCCGATTCACAGGTAGGCCCCTTGCAACCCCACGTATCCCCTTGCATTCCCGCGTATCCCCCTTGCAACCCCACGTATCCCCTTGCATTCCCACGTATCCACTTGCAACCCCACTTATTTCCTTCAACCCCACGTATCCCCTTGCACCAAGGCACCTGCCCCATGGGATTCGTTTACCTTGTGTATCACACCTTCTCTCTCAAATATTCCTTGTTCTCGTTTTCCCTCCCCCCCAACCAACACCGACCCCTGCAAGGGTTCTCCGGTGCTGCCCTGTGGCACGGGTGCATGCACCAAGGCACGTGCCCCGTGGGACCCGTCTATCCTCGTGCCCTCCTGCAAGTGCCCCTTGAAGCTCCCCTCCTTCCAACCCTCCCACCTCTCCGGCCTGCCCTCCTGCTTCCCTGGTGAGACGTGGAGTGCGGTAGGCAAGAGGTGGAGTGCGGTAGGCAAGAGGTGGAGTGCGGTAGGCACGAGGTGGGGTGCTGTAGGCAAGAGGTGGAGTGCGGTAGGTGAGAGATGGAGTGCAGTAGGTGAGAGGTGGAGTGCAGTAGATGAGAGGTGGAGTGCGGTAGGTGAGAGGCAGAGCGCAGTGGGTGAGAGGTGGAGTGTGGTGGGTGAGAGGTGGATGCACTAGGTGCCCTTTTGGTTTGTTTGTGGATGATATAGTTTTTTTTCGCATCCACACATTCTAGATCCACAACAATCTTCAGAAAATGAAAAAGTTTGTACTATTGAATCTTTAATTAACCTACTCTTTTTTTTTTTTTTTTTTTTTTTTCTGTTGAAATTTTACAAATGGTTTGCACTCTAATGCGCTATGTCCGCTCCTGCAATACCCTTCTTTCTCGTTTCCCCTCCTTTCCCACCCACCGCCTTTCCCCTTCCCGTGTCTTCCCCTTACTCCTCTTTTCTCGTTCTCCATCTCCCTTTCCGCTTGCCCCCTTGTCCCCCTGTCCCATTTTCCCGCTGTCCCCTTTTCCCCTCAACCTCTCACTAGATTCCTTCACATGTCATTAGCTCTTCCACAACCCATGTGTACCCCTGATGTTCCTTCCCTGTTATCAGGGATTTGGATCAATGGCGTGCTGCTGTGCTGCTCACTCACTTGATATAAGTAGAGTTGTGAGACGTCTCAAAACTCTACCTTTCTCCCATGTGCTCTGGGGGTGTGCATCAATGGTGTGCGCCTGTGCTGCTCACTCACT